AGAGAGAGAGAGAGATCCCCTTTTGCAGCAGTATTGACCATATATAGTGTGCTACTTTGGCAGGCCAAGTTGCGAAGCCAGTCTTGGTGGATCCGTTATTTTGTGCAAACAGGCCTTCAGGAGAATGACAGTGTTGCCAAGAAGTTTGAGCAGGTTTTGAACAAAAAGGCATACAAGCCGAGCTGCCAAATATTTCATCTGAGTCCAGACCATTAACGCCTGCCTCTTCCATGAAGAAAACAGGCATGTTTTAAGCTTTTGCCACCCTCTTATGGAAGAGAAGGTTTATGTTGGGTACTCGATCGAAAGAGTACCCTGTAGCATTGTTTGTTATGTGTAGTGGGGTCTGGTTAGCACATGTTTTATTATTTAGGGTTTAGCGGAGTTGAGCCCGAAAAAGGGTACCGATTGGTGGTAGGGAAGAAAGATTTTCTTAAGTTGAATAGATGTAGATATTCTTTGAATTCAGTTTTGGGAACTTTCGAGGGTTTTCACTCAAGTGGTGAAATTGGTCACTCAAAAAGTGAAACATAAGGAAATTTCTTTCTTGGCTACTAGATACTGATTAATCAAGATTACTTTTGATAAGCAATACTTTTGATAAGCAATACTTTTGATAAGCAAAGTTTTCTATCTATCATGCTTTATTACCTGCCATGGACAGTATCTGTTGCTCAGGCCCAATGGTTTTCTATATTTTTATTTTTTTATTTTTTTTTGGAGGACCCTGGGTGCATCTGCATGTGCATTTTTGCATGTATATGCGTGAGCGATAAGCTCGGTTGAGGTAATCTCCGAAACTCTCTTTTTGTTTCTTGTCATATTTAATTATATTGTCATTATATTTCCAAACATAAGGATTGTGGATATTTTCTTTGTTTAAAAAAAACTGGTTTAATGTCAGCAAGGTTTTTTAAGATCTTGGATGTGTTAGTTTTATTTTCTTTGAAGCAATAATTATTTTATTAAGACTACTTGTAAGTGATTTTTGTCAAAAGAAAAGAAAAAGAAAAGAAAAGGGGTGAACATAAGAAAAAAAAAAAATTCTCCTGCAAGAGCGCATTAGTCTTTTTTTCAGTGCATTATCTTGTCACTATCCAAGTATATGACATACATTCTAACATGGTTGATATGCTACATGACACTTTTTTTTTTTTCAATATATATTAGAAACCACGAACTTATGAGTTGTGAATTCCTGCAGAAAACCATCCAAGTTACTTTAGGATCAAAGTGCTCTTCTTGAGAACCCTAGTATTTTAAACTGATGATAAATGATAATCCAAAACTCGTTTTATACATTGATTTGTTCATTACATGTGGCTTATGAGGGGTAAGGGTAGAGCCACCCATTCCCATTGGACCTGGATAACATAAAAGATGGTAAATTTTTAAATTACAAAGAAATTTGGCAAATATTATAGAAGACATAGCTTGAGGCTTGATTTTTGAGGTCGTTAATGTGAATTAGTTTCATGGTAAACTAGCTCTTAATCAATGGAACTATTTCATACTTTTTAAGGGCACTTTTCAAGTATATGACAATGCTAATTTCATATTGTGTGAAAGAGATGGGATAAAGTTCCATGAAATTTATATGCAAGAAAGGAAAGACATCAAACCATTTCTTTCACGCCTCATTCCTATTTTGCTTAGTTGGATGCTCAGGAAACTTCAAAGATCAAACAAGTGAGAAGCAAATTAATTTGATGCTGCTCAGCATGAAGGACATATTGTAGAATTTGAAGGGCATGACATGTTTCTATAACCCAAAGATGAAGCGTATTAGAACATACTTGGGATTGATTGTTTAGGTGTTGACGATTGCGAAACTACTCCTGAAGTTTGATTTCTACTGCTGAACTACCCGAAATTTCCATTTCTTTTTTCTTTTCTTTCTTGTTCCTTTCCATGCATCCTTATATCTTTCCTTATGACCCAGTTAGTAGTTCAAGTGTGACCCAGTTTAGTAGGTGGCTTAACTTGTCGATCTATTTTAATGTTTAGACTGAAGTCTTTTTCATTTAGCGTCTCCTAATTACAAAGAACAAGGTTCAGTGAGAAGAATCGGAAATCATAGAACATGCCAATGTTTAAGAACACTCGCGCCACAGACTTGGACCTGGCCTGAGACAAGTTACTCGGATGAGTATGAGTGGACTTGTTCCCCCCTTTCCCCTCAAAAAATAAAAATTAAAATAAATAAAGGTCTAAACCACCCCCCTTTCCCCCCAAAAAACTAAAAAATAAAAAAAATAAAGGTCTAACCCCCCCTCCCCCCAAAAAAAAAATAAAAATAAAAATAAATAAAGGTCTAAACCCATCCCCCCTGCCCCGGCCCCCAAAAATAAATAAATAAATAAATAAATACAGGTCTAAAGTTTATTTGAAAAATTATCATTTTTAGTTTTATAATCTATTTATTGGGTGATGTTTCTATAAGTTTCCAACCTTAAAAATTTATCATAACATGTAATTTTGTTGTAAAAATTCTAAGTATTATATTAAAATTTATTTTCATATTTAATTAGAAAATTTTAAATTCCAAAAATGGTGAAAATCAAGTAGATCTATAAATATATGAAAATCTTGAAAATGGACGGTCTAGATAATGTGTTGCAAGATGCACTATTTTTTAGATTCAAAAACTTTTTTTTTTTTTTCATATTCATAGATCTTGATGTTGAAATGATTGATTAAAGTGCTTTTTCAACATTAAAACAACATTTCCAATAGATTTTTAAGGTGCATCTGTGATTCTATATTTTAAGGATTCAACCTTATATAAACTTTTATGATCTCCAAGATTATATATTCTTAAGAGATTAGATCCAAAATCCTTCTAAGAAATGTATCATGAAGAGTGGACATATATTTACACGAGTCAAACTCAAAAAAACCGAGCGGACATATATTTACACGAGTCAAACTCATAAATAGGGACAAGGTTTCTATGAGTCGGTCCTCTCTCCAAAATCCTTATTAGTGATGCATTTTGGATCCAAATTTTTTTGGGGTTGACAATCTATATCACGATGAACGTGAATACAAAAAAGAAAATAAATATTTTAAACATAAAAAATAACAATTTACAATGTATCCTTTTAGTCCGTTATTTTGTAGATGGTGCTAACCACCACCTTTTAACATCCATCTTTGAGATGGATGTTAGTTGTGTCACGGAACACATATGTAGATGTGCGTCCCATTGTACTTTTACATTAAATAAAGGATGAAGTTTATGCAAAACCTAGGCTTTATAAAAACAAAGTAAAGCTTCACCTCAAATCGTGATCTAGATCACTATATCACTATATAGTTATATTTATTTAGTTAAAGGAAAAGTTTATCTAAGGTTTCAACCTAAAATGTAGAATTACAGATGCATGTAAAAAATCCATTAGAAAATGTGGTTTTCATTGAAAAACCCTCTAATTGATTATCTCCACAATGAGATGTATGAATATGAAGAAGAAAAGAAAAGAAAAGAAGATATTTTGAGTCCCAGAAATAGTACATCTTGCAATACATTATCTAGACCGTTCATTTTCAATATTTTCATATGTTTATAGATCTACTTGATTTTAACCATTTTTGGAGTTTAAAAGTTTATAATTAGATATGAAAACAGATTTTGGGATAATCCTAAGAATTTTTTACACCAAAATTATATGTTATGATAAAATTTGAAGGTGTGCCATAATTGGATTGTTTAAGGTTGCAGCCAAATGGTGGTGGAGAAGTGCACAGGAAAAAGATCAACTTTGGAGGAAAATCCTTGGAGAAATTATGGGGAAGATAGGAATCATGGTTTGGTAGCCAAAGGGTCCAACACAAAAGGCATTTCGTATATTTGGAAAGGTATTCTGGCTCACATGCCTTTATTTCTCAGTAGTTTTAGAAAAATTGTTGTGAAGAGTGATACAATAAAGTTTTGGCATAAGAAATGGTTGGGGAACAATGACTTAAAATCTCAGTTTCCTAATTTGTTTGCTAAAACAAATACCAAGAGCTGTATGGTCAGTGAAATGGTGTCTGGAAATGGATTTTCTGCAAGCAGGAATGTAACTTGCTCTTATAGAAGAGTTAATGAAACAATTATAGATGAATATATGCGTTGCTTAAGCCTATTACAGAGTCTTTTCTATTGTCCTGAAAATTCAGATACAGTTATTTGGGAACCAAGTAGAAGTGGATGTTTTACGATGAGTTCTGTTTACAAACTTCTATTTGATGATAGAGTTAGATAGTCTGATGACGATGTAGGGAAATTATGGAAATGGCCTGTTCCTTTAATGATTCATGCTTGGTTATGGCTAGGAAAACTTCGTAGAATTCTGACTATTGATATGTTAAGAAAGAAAGGGCATATTCTAGCAAATTTTTGTATCTTATGTAAATAGGATGCTGAATCTATCAATCATCTGTTTCTGTCTTGCTCTTATGTTAAAGTGATTTGGAGATGGGTGTTGGTTTGGGTGGAATTATATGGCGATTGTCCTTTGAGGATTGACAGTCTTTTAGGAGATTGGTTGATTGCAGGGGTGGGAAAAAGGAACAAATTATCTGGAAGATGGTTCGGGCTACGGTGACGTGGGAAATATGGAAGGAGCAGAATAGAAGAAGTTTTGATAATAAAAGTCTATATTGTAATGAGCTGATAGAAAAAATTCATGTGTCTGTTGCAGAGCTTGTGAGCATTAATGAAATATGGTGAGGCGTACTTAGAATAGATGTGATGTACGATCTTAGTGCGTTAATTAGAGAGAAATCTGATAAGAAAATCAAGTTAGGTTTATGGAAGAGGCCTAGCTTTGATTGGATTAAACTAAACTTCGATGGGTGTTTTTGGGAAACCCTGGTCAGGGCGGTATAAGAGGGATGGTAAGAGATCGGGATGACAAAGTGAAATTTCATGGGTCTATAGGAGTTGTACCTGCGAATGAAGCCGAGTTGAGAGCTGTTTTACAGGGGGTTAAATTAGTCAAGGATTTGAACAAACCTGTGTAGATCTAAGGTGATAATTTAAATATAGTGAAATGGTTAAATAAAGAGGCTGAATACCCATGGAAATTTCATAGTTTAATCGATGAAGTGAATGATTGCTGTAAGGAGCTTGTATGTTGTGTGAAACATATATACCGGGAAAGTATTATGGAGGTAGATGGGTTATCAAAGCTGGGGGTGACTGTTGACAATCTGGTGGTTGAAAAGTTTGGATAGATGTTTTAGTTTGTGTTTTTCCTTTTCATATTGTAAGTTTCTTTGGTTTTTTAGATTGTAATAGTTGAGTGGGGGAATATATAATACAAGTACTTTTCATCAAAAAAAAAAAAATACTTATAGAAACCACATCCTTATTTAAATATTATGTAAATAACAACTCAAGTCCAGGTCGGATCCACATGGACCTGGACCCAGACCCCAATAATGTTTGGGTTCAATATTTGAATCCGGACCCGACCCACTAGGTTCAATTTTTGGAGCAATACTTGAACCCAATTCGGGTCTGGACGTTGGGTCTCGGATCCATTGCCACGGCGAGGCTGCAAACCTGTAAAGAGATTTTTCTTAAATAAAAAAAAGAGAAAGCACATATAGGTCTTCTTCTTGCCAACATTATTCCAAAATCTAAATCTTTCCAAACGAGGTACACATAGAAAGCCATTCGCCTTTGCTCTCATATTGGCAAAAAAAAAAAATGGAAAAAAAGAAAAAGGAAAAGCTCCGAGAAAGTAACCGCCCATAAACATTACATCAATGGCCCTGGCTTTTCTAAAGCAAGCCCATAAATCAATCTACATGTAAAAATCCCATTGCCAAGGAAGGGCCATGGACTTGGAATCTCTCTCCATAAAAGAAGCCAAAAATAATGTAGACAGAAGGCCAACCCCAAAACCCCAACACAACCGCACTCTAAACAATCGATAACAATGCTTCTCGTGAAACCATCACCATCCCATGAACCAGAGCACCACCGCTGCTCTCTCCCCTTTCCTCCACCAACTCTCCGCCATCAACCGCGTCCGCCACCTCGCTCGCGAGTGCGTTCGCGCTCGCGACCTCCGCAGCGGCCTCGCCCTCCATGCGCGGCTTCTCCGCTTGCCCACTGCACCATCGCTCCTCTTTGTATTCAACCACCTTGTCTCCCTCTACGCCAAGTGCGGCCGCCTGAACCAAGCTCGTATTTGCTTTGACAAAATCCCTTGGCCTAACGCGTTCTCTCTAAATGCCATGCTCGCTGCCTATGTGAATGAAGGCCTGGTACATAGAGCTCGCCAACTGTTCGATGAAACGCCCCAAAGAGATGTAGTTTCATGGAACACCCTCATTGCTGGTTATGCGCGCATGGGCTATGAAAGCCGAGCTCTTGGCTTGCTCGCCACCGTGATAGATGCCCATGAAACCATTGATGGGTTCATGATCTCAGGGGCTATTAGTGCTTGTTCTAGTGAAAGGCAGGGAAAGATGGTGCATGCGCTTGGTGTGTGTTTGGGGCTCACAGTTTATGTATCAGTGAGCAACGCATTGATCACTATGTATAGTGGGTGTGGGCTTTTGGGTGATGGTATTCAGGTTTTTGGGGAGATGAGGGAGAGAGATGAGGTTTCATGGAATGCGATGATTGTGGCTTATGGGCAACATAAGTGTGGGCTCAAGGCTTTGGGGTTGTTTCAGGAGATGGTGAGGGTGGGTGTGCGAATTGACATGTACACGCTTGCCAGCGTGTTGACATGTTACTCAAACTTGGAGGATCTCAATGGTGGGCGCCATTTCCATGGCCTATTAATCAAGAGTGGGTTTGATTCCAATTGTCATGTGGGTAGTGGCTTGATCGATATGTATTCAAAGTGTGGCTGCGTAAATGATGCGTATAAAGTTTTTGATTTGATTCCATGTAGAGATCTTGTGTTATGGAACACGATGATTATGGGTTTTGCACTAAATCAGCGACCAGAGGAAGCTATAGGAGTCTTTCGCGAGCTCCTAAGAGTGGGTTTTGAGCCTGACGATTGCACACTAGTGTGCATACTTAGTGCCTGTTCTGATCTCTCGGCCCCTTTGCAAGGTCGACAAGTACATGCATTGGTGGCTCGATATGAGCCCCATCTCTCGTGCCACTTAGCTGTTGGCAATGCACTTGTGTCCATGTACGCCAAATGTGGTGGGCTCATTGACGCGCGCTGTCTCTTCGATAGGATGCCAGAGCACAATGCTGTGTCTTGCAATGCAATGATTGGTGGTTATGCCCAACATGGTCAAGGAAGTGAGGCTCTCGAGATCTTCAAATGCATGAAAATGTGGTGTATCAAGCCTACAGAGGTCACATTCCTCTCGGTGTTGTGTGCATGCAGCCATACTGGACGAGTGGATGAAGGCATAACTTACTTTGAGTCCATGACTCGAGACTATGGCATTGAGGCAGGGCTTGAGCACTACTCGTGCCTCGTGGACCTCTTAGGCCGGGCTGGCCGGCTCAAGGAGGCTCGAGATGTCGTTGTGAATATGCCCTTCGAGCCTAACTCAAAAGCTGCGGGGTGGGCAGCCCTACTAGGAGCATGCAGGATCCACGGAAATGTCGAGCTGGGAGCAGAGGCTGCCAGTCAGCTCATTGCACTTGAGCCACAGAATGCGGCCGGCTACGTGATGCTATCGAACATGCACGCCGAGGCCAGGCAATGGAAAGAGGTGGCGGCTGTCAGGAAGATGATGAGGGACAAGGCAGTGAAGAAAGTGCCTGGGTGTAGTTGGATAGAGGTGAAGAACAAGTTACATGTGTTTGTCAGTGAGGATTCTTACCACCCCATGATCAACAAGATTTATCATTTTTTGGAGAGTATTTCAGGGAAGATGAGGGACTCGGGGTATGTACCCAACGTGAGGTGGGCTTTGGCAAGGGAGGAGGATGTAGAGAAAGAGAGAAGGCTTAGGCACCACAGTGAGAAATTAGCAGTGGCCTTTGGTTTGATGAGCACAGGGGTTGGAGTGCCTATAATGGTGATGAAGAACCTTAGAATTTGTGGGGATTGCCACAATGCCATTAAGTTCATGTCAAAGATTGTGGAGAGGGAGATTACAGTCAGGGATGCACATAGGTTCCATTGTTTCAAGGAGGGGAGATGTTCTTGTGGTGATTACTGGTGACAGGAAGACATTATTCAAGGCTTTAAGAATGGAGTTATGTGCAAGATAAGCCTGTCAGTCCTTAAAACTTTCACACTAGGTTCTGGTTTTACTGATAATGGGGACCATTGGGAGTAATCATCTAACTTAATGGTTACTGTGTTTACAATTGTACTCTGACATCTCTAGTTTGATTCCTACTACTGGCCTTCATGTAAAATATTTATGAAAAGATTCTTTCACTTAATACAAAGTCAACAGATTCAGAAAAAAAGAAAAGAAAAGAAAAACAGATCTATGAAAAGATCACAGGGTAGAGGTAAATGGCTAACCTATGCCTTGCTTGACTTTGGCCTTGTAAGAAGATGATCTTTCACATTAATAAGCATGTGTTATAGTGATTACTGTCATTCACAATTCTAATTTGAATTTGAGCTTGTGATGGCATAGCTTTTGGGCAGGCAAGTTGCTTCTCATTTGCTCAGCTTAATAAGGATGTTATCTTAAATTCCAAAGCTATTGTCCTCTTTCAATGAAAACCATTTACCAGCTTCTGCCATTTTCTTACATTTTTGTCATCAAATTCTATTATAGGCCCCTACCCCACCCCCTTCTCTCTCTCTCTCAGGGTTTTGTTTCTGGTAATTTTGTTTTTGCAACCTCAATTGCTCTCTGGCTTTGATTCCTCTTGCAAGCTTCAGCTGTGCATGAGTGAAGGACTAGCTCGACATAAACAGTTAGGTATTGAGCTCTTCATCCCCGTCTCTCTCACATTACGTTCTTCGTTTTCTCCATCTCTGTTCTGCATCTGTTTCAGTCCAAGGCATTGTTTACTTATATGAATCTTCATACCCGAGTTTCTCGATCATCACATCAGCTTTTCCATTTCAAGAAATTCCCATACTCAATTATCTCAAAGGTCAATTACTTTCTCAGCTTTGCCCTAGTGTCCTCCCCATTTCAACACATATCCATACTGAATTCTCGCGAAGGTATTGTCAACTTTACCCTAGCGTACTCGCTTCACTTTCCAGGGTCTCTATTTTGCTCAAATAGCGTAGAAGCAAATCTCCCAAAGCTGAGAAACAGTTCCACCATTGCAATCAAGCTGAAATCAGTATTCTTTCACCTAAATATACCTGAAATCCTGCAAAACCTAGAGAGAAAAAAATGAGTGCTTCAGCTCAAAGAAGTACAAAAACTGGAAAGCAATCCTTGTTGTTTAGGGATTTGGCTTGTCCCATATCCACTCAAAAGGGGAGGTTCTCGACCCTTGGGCAAGCAGCTGCCGTTTCAGCTCTATGGAAAGAAAATTTTAGGGGTGCCGACCCTCCCCCTCCGCCTCTTTTACCCTTGATGATCGAGTCGAATTTTCACCGGAACCCAGTATCGTCGATTACCCAACCTCACCTGAATTCAGGTCCTCTGGTTGAGATTCTCCCTCTCCAATGAGGGGCAAAATGATAAATGGGTCCGTACAGCATACCCCAACCCTCTCCTCAATGAAGGGGAAAATGGTAAATGGGTCACCTGAGGCCACCAGTTCATATGCCATGACACCTGGTTCTGGTTGGTGGTCACTTCCAAAAGAGGTCATTAGTGGCGTGGAGAAGGGGAGGGGTTCACCTGTTACTGGTGTTGTTGAAGTACAACAACAAACTGTTGCTTTGCTTACTCTTCCATCCCCTAGAGAGGTTGCAATGCCTGAATTACAGAGGAATAGTGTGCTGTTGGTGATTTAGCTGAGGAGGAATGGGTTACAGTTTTTGGTTTTTCCCCTGGAGATACCAATTGGGTTCTACGAGAGTTGAAAAGTGTGGCATAATATTGAAGCGTGTACGAGGTCCAAGAGATGCTAATTGGATAAATATCCTATATCAGAACTGATTTGATGCCCAGAAAGCTCTTGAGAAAAATGGAATGCAGATAAATGGGTTGCTTATTGTTGGGGTGAAGCTATTGGACCCTGTTCAGAGCAAGGTCTAAGTCACAAGCCCATAAACCGTGCCTTTATGGTTGTGCCCCCTCACTCTTCAGGTAGGAGCTCAGCTCCGAGCCCCCTCGTCCCGACCTTATTATTTGCAGTCACAAGATGGAAATCAGCATAATGCCGGGGCAATTGCTTCGCCTTCACAGTCGGTCGTCCGAAAAATTATGGATATAGTGTTGGCATCTGAATGAGCGCTATTCTTGGGCACCCATTGATGAGGTCTCTTTCTCCCTTGTCTTTTTGGATTGGATCTGTTAACTTAAATTTTGCATTGGAATTTGAGGACAGATGTAGATTGTGTATGTATGTTAGATATTGAGTGTGTTGTGGGGGAGGGAGGTGGAAATTCTGGTTGCAGTTAGAAGGGGAGAGAGAGAGAGAGATGGCATTTGTAGTCGCCAACCGAAGGTGAGATCCTTTCCAGGGTTTGTTGTTATGATTCAATTTGTGTGACAGAGAGATTTTGATTCAATGCAATTGTCATGTGATTTGCTTTCAAAACAATTGGTACGTTATCGGTTTAAAATAATAATTTTTCTCTCTCACTTTACAACCCATCACTGCTTCTCCTCTCTCTGTCTAGAATCTTCACTTTAACATTAAAAAAAGACGGTGCATTAAGAAAGAGAAAGAAAGGCGGTGGCAAAACCAACTTCACATATCACTTCAAGGGCGTATGAAGAAAAAAAAAAAAGAGCCAAAAAAGAAGTGTCAAATGTTTAAAAGATCACACTATATCATTGTAACGCGTCATATATTTTTAATAGTGAATTTTTTTATGAATGAATATTGCTTCATCTTTACCACTATTATCATTCTTTGCTATTTTTCAATCAAATTATTATATCAACACTCTTGCAAATTTCTAACATTTGGTATGAGAGCAAAATTTATGCTTCCTAAAAGACCACTTTACCTATGGCATCAACCCCGGGTGTCAATTATACCCAAAATCTAATACCCATCCTAGATGGAGAAGATTACGACTCATGGAGTCTCCAAATGGAGACTCTTTTTATCTCACAAGATCTGTAGGATATTGTTGAAGAAGGTTATGTAGTACCAGATTTGTGGTCACATGTAAAGCAAAATGAATTCAAGGAAAATGAAAAAAGAGATGCAAAAAAGTTTCTCTTCATCCAACAAGCTGTAAGTAAATATATCTTTTTTAGAATAAAAATTGTTTCAAAATCAAAAGAAGCTTGGGATATTTTGAAAAATGAATTTTAGGGATCTGAAAAAATGATTTCTATCAAACTCCATAAATATAGAGAGAATTTGATAATTTGATGATGAAAGAATGTGAAGTTGTTCAGAACTTTTTTTATTAGAGTTGCTGGAATAATAAATCCGATTAGATGTTATGGAGATGATATTACTGATAACAAAAATTGTTCAGAAAATCTTGAGAAGCTTGCCTGGAAAGATTGACCATGTTGTAGCTACCATAAAAGAGTCAAAAGATTTATCTACATTTTCATTACAAGAATCAAATGGGTCTCTTGAAGCACATGAGCAAAGAATGAATAGATTTTCAAACTAGAATATAAAACAAGCTTTTCAGTCAAAAATGAAAATTTTCGAAAAGAAAAATATTGAAGAAAATAAAGAAAGGGGGACATTTCAAAATTATTAAAAAAGTCGCAGAAGACAAAAGTTTTCTAGATGCCAAGGAAGAGGAAGAAATAATTTTCAACAGCCACAGAATTCCAGATGGAAAAGGTAAATCTGAATCTTACTGTAAAAAATTAGGGCTTGAATCCAAGGATTGCTGATATAAATGTAAAAAATGTAGAACCTTAATCATTCTCAAAGAGATTGTTGGTTTCAACATAAAAAATGAAATACAAAAAAATGAAGTACATTTTTCCGAGTAAAATAATAATACAGGCCATATATTTTATTCATGAATGAATGTTCAACAAAATTCACATGAAATTTGGTATTTGGATAGTGGTTGTAGCAATCATATGACAAGAAATCAAAGTAGTTTTGTTGAGATAGATGAAAAAATCACTTCTCAAGTCAAGCTCGGTGATGGGAAGTTTCAAAATGTTGAAGGAAAATGGAGTAGTTGCAGTAAAACCAAAAGAAGATAATCCTAAATTAATTTCTAATGTACTTTATGTTATTGGCTTGACTCAAAATCTTTTAAGTACTGGTCAATTAATGAAAAAAGATATTAAGTCAATTTCAATAGAGATGAATGTGTGATTCTTTATAAGAAAAATAAACAGACTATAGCCAAGGTGAAAATGACCCCAAGTAAGGTTTTTCTTATGGTGATGCTGTCATGTGAAAATTATGCATTGAGTTCTGAAAATAATGATAAATCTTACTTGTAGCATTTAAGATTTTGGGCATTTAAATTTCAAGGTTTGAAATTGATGAATTAAAAAAGTATGGTAATTGGACTACTACCAATAAATGAAGAAAGAAAAATATGTGAAGGGTGTATCTATGGAAAACTACATAGGTTGCCATTTTCAAAGTCATCTTAGAGAGCAAGAGCTCCATTGGAACTGGTTTATTCAGACATATGCAGACCGACACACGCAGAAAATTTTAATAAGAAAAGATATTTTCTTTTAATTGTTGATGATTATAGCAGAATGATGTAGGTATATTTTTTGGCCAAAAAATCAAAAGCATTTTCAATTTTACTCAGTTTAAAGTTGATGCAGAAAAGCAAAGTGGTTTTCCATTAAAGCCTTGAGAACAGATTTAGGAGGAGAATTAATATTAAAGGAATTTTGGATTTTTGCAAAAAGAATGGAATCAGAAGAGAGTTGACAAAAATATATACTCTACAATAAAATGGAGTAGCAGAGAGAAGAAATAGAACAACAGTCGAAATGGCTTGGAGTATGTTGAAAGATAAGAATCTTCCTAATAAATTTTGGACTGAAACTGTTTATACTGCTATTTATATTCTGAACTGGTCTCCTACAAAATCTCTCCAAAATAGAACACCTTTTGAGGCATGGTATAAGAGAAAACCAGAAGTAAATTATTCAGAGTTTTTAGATGTATTGCTTATGGGAAAAGTACCTCTCAAGATAAAGAAAAATTTGATAATAATGTGAAAAATATATCTTTATTGGATACAATGAAGTTTCAAAAGCTTATCGTCTTCACAATCCAAAACACAAATAAATTGGTAGCTTCCAAAGATGTTATCTCGAATGAGAAAAGTAAATGGAACTGGGATGAAAACTCTGGCCATGAAAATTTTTTTTTAGAAAATGATGATTCAAATAAAAGTCTAGATCCAAGCCCTTCAAGTCAAAGTCAAGAAAGTCCAACACAAGGAAGTCCAAGTTCAAGTTCTTCAGATTCAAATACGCCTATCAGAAAAGTAAGGTCGCTTTCAGATATTTATGAATCATGTGATGTTGATTTCTTTTCTAGGGAACCACAAAAGTTTGATGAAGCAACTAAAGAAAAAATTTAGTTAAATGCCATGAATGAAGAAATTTCTTTTATAAAGAAACATAATACATGGGAATTAATAGATCACCCAAAAGGGAAATAAATAATTGGTCTGAAATGGATTTACAAAACTAAATATAATGAAGATGGGTCCATTCAAAAGCATAAAGCTAGACTGGTGGCAAAAAGCTATTCACAACAATCTAGAATAGATTTTAATGAAACTTTTGCCCCTGTTGCCAGAATGAAGACCATTCGAACTGTTTTGGTCGTAGCTGCCCAATTAAATATTTCAGGTTTTCAGTTAGATGTAAAATTTGCTTTTTTGAATGGACAACTTGAAGAAGAAGTTTATGTTGCACAACAATTGGGTTTTATTAAAAAAGAAAATGGAAAAAAAGTTTATAAACTGAAAAAGATGTTATATGGATTAAAACAAGCTCCAAGAGCTTGGAATAGCAAAATTGATAAATATTTTTGGAAAAATGGATTTGAAAGGAACTCAAGTGAACCTTCATTTTATACGAAAAAGGGAAGTGGAAATTCCTTCCTAATTGTATGCCTTTATGTTGATGATTTGATTTGTACTGGTACAAACAAAAAAATGATGGAAGAATTTAAAAAAGCCATGATGAAAGAATATGAAATGACTAATTTGGGAATTATGAAATATTTTGTTCGAATCCAAATAAGACAATCAGATAGATAAATTTTTATATCTCAAGAAAAATATGTTGAAGATCTCTTGAAAAGATTCAGAATGTCAAATTGCAAGTCAGTGAATACTCCAATGGCAGTGAATGAAAAGTTTTCAAAATATGATGGTGTAGGAAAAGTTGATGCATCGATTTATCGAAGCTTGGTTGGATCTTTAATTTATTTGACTAATATAAGGCCAGATATTGTGCATACAGTCAACATTTGTTCTAGGTTCAAATTGCATAGTGCTGTAGCCAAAAAGATTTTAAGATATATCAAGAGAACAAAAAATACGGTATCAAATATATTTATGGAAATAATACTAATCTTATTAGATTTTCTGATCGTGATTTTGTAGGTTCTATTGATGATCGAAAAAGCACTTTCGGCTATATATTTTGCCTCGGTATAAAAGTGATATCGTGATCATCAAGAAAGCAAAGTAATGTGGTTCTATCATCAGCAGAAGTCGAAGACATCTCAACAATAAGTGCCGTATGTGAAGGTGTTTGACTTGAAAGAATTTTATCAGACTTGTATCAAGAGCAAAATACTCCCACAACAATTTTCTGTGACAACATGTCAGCCATTGTAATAATAAAAACTCCAGTATTTCATAGCCGATCAAAGCATATAGAAATACGATATCATTTCATCAAGGAGTTGACTGAAATATGAGAAATCGAGCCAAAATTCATCAACACAAACGACCAACTTGCAGACATATTTACGAAGACAATTACAACAGATAAATTTATCCAATTCAAAGATATAATGAGAGTGACAAATTAAAGAGGGTTGATCAATTTTTTTTTGTCTCCCTCACTTTACAACCCATCACCACCTCTCCTCTCCTCTCTCTCTCTCTCTAGAATCTTCCCTTCAATATTGAAAAAGGCGGTGCATTAAGAAAAGAAAGAAAGGCGGTGGTAAAACCGACTTAAAAGGCAGTCCATCAAATGCCCTCTATAAAAAAGGAGCTCGTGCATATCAATTGAAAGGCGTATGAAGAAAAAAAGAGAGCCAAAAAAAAGTGTCAAATGCGGGCATGGTCTAAAAGACC